TGCTATGGCGTCACACAGCTCACAGCAACCTCCAACTCCTGGGCTTAGGCAATTCTCTTGCCTCAGCCTCCCAAGTAGCTGGGGCTACAGGCGCCCACCACAATGCCTGGCTATTTTTTGGTTGCATTTTGAACCGGGCCATGCTGGAAGCTGCCACCCTTGGTATATGGGGCCGGCGCCTTACCCACTGAGTCACAGGTGCCGCCCTACTGTTTTTTTTTTTTTTTTAGACATACTCTTACTATGTTGACCTGGGTAGAGTGCAGTGGTGTCATCATAGCTTACAGCAACCTCAAACTCTGGTACACATATGTTTACCTCTCGGTATGTTTTTACTACTCCTGGGATGTCATGAAAAATTGTTGCAGTTCCTGGACTCCTGGCCACTCCTACCCCAGTGATAGTATCTGTCTGTAGAACATGGTTAGCAGAAATCATCCACATTCCAGGTTCACCTACGAAGAGACAAGAGACAGCACTTTTTTTTTCCTTTTTTTTTTTTTGAGACAGAGCCTGAAGCTGTCACCCTGGGTAGAGTGTCATGGCATCTCACAGCTCACAGCAACCTCCCTCCAACTCCTGGGCTCAGGCGATTCTCCTGCCTCTGCCTCCCAAGTAGCTGGGACCACAGGCGCCTGCCACAATGCCTGGCTATTTTTTGGTTGCAGCTGTCATTGTTGTTTGGTGAGCCCGGGCTGGATTCGAAGCTGCCAGCTCAGGTGTATGTGGCTCGCAACTTAACCACTTGAGCCACAGGCGCCGAGCCAAGAGACAGCACTTGATTATAACCTTTGATATAAATTACCCTAAACTTATTTAGGCCCCACATTAGGTTGTTCACGCAGATATGTCTTTCCAGGGACACCCAGTTTTATGACTGTCAGATTCCCCTCTACATATCATGCCAGGAAAATAAAACAAGATCACTTGGGTGGCGCCTCAGTGAGTAGAGCACCAGCCCGATATACCAAGGGTGCCAGGTTTGAACCCGGCCCCAGCCAAACTGCAACAAAACAATAGATAGGCGCTGTGTTGGGTGCCTGTAGTCCCAGCTACTCAGGAGGCTGAGACGAGAGAATTGCCTAACCCCAGGAGTTGGAGGTTGCTGTGAGCTGTGATGCCATACTACTCTACTAAGGGCAACAAAGTGAGACTCTGTCTCTAAAAATAAATAAATAAACAAGTAAATAAAATAAGATCTCCAGATCTTCAGAATTATAAGAAGAGCTACTTAGTAGTGAAACCATCCTTAATGAAATTAATAAAGGAGTGCAAGGTAAGAACTATGGTACAGGCCTAAACTTTGTAAAGGCATAGACGTAGCTAAAAATAATGATAGTAACCAATCACTATCCTCTAATTTGCTCTCCTATACTTGCTCCTTAGGAGTCACATAACTGATGGTCATAAGGATTCTTAACTTTCTCCATAGATAACATCACCTTTTCAAATCCTAAGGGCAGTTTTTCAGATATATTCCAGGCTTTGCATTTGGGTGGAGATTGGTTGACCCACACAGAGCAGCAAATACCAAAAAACTGGCTCAATTGGTATTGTGACCCCACCCAGGAACTGACTCAACATGAGAGGATGATTTCTATACTCCTATAATTTTGCCCTGAATCCAGCCAATTGGCAGACCCCATTGCCTAATCCTTACCAAACTATCTTTTTTTTTTCTTTGGAGAGACAGTCTTACTTTGTTGCCCTTGGTAGAGTGCTGTGGTGTCACACAGCTCACAGCAACCTCCAATTCCTGGGCTTAAGTGATCCTCTTGCCTCAGCCTCCTGAGTAGCTGGGACTACAGGCACC